AGCCCCTGCCCCCAGCCCCTCCGAGCCAGGGGCTGCTTTGCATTATCAGCATGACCAGGGAGGAGCGGAGGCGTCGGGAGTGATGGACAGGAGAGGGGAGGCAGAGGGCAAGGCAGGATCCTGCCCTTTGGTAACCCAAAGCACATCTCTGGCACTCAGGGATAAGGCGGAAAACGCGGCATGGTGGGAACGGCCTGGAAACGAATTCACAGGCTAATGAGCATGTCCAGGTTAGCTCACCCTCCGGGCGGGAGCGGGGCTGGGCCAGCAGGCTTGGGCAGTGGTGCTGGGGGGCTGCCCCCCGCCCCCCCCCCGGGCAGACAGTGCCACGGCCACCAGGACAGCCCCGCTGGCCCCGGGATGGCCCAGCTCACATGGCAGCTGATGCACAGAAGTCCCCCTGGAAATGCAGCATCTCTGTGAAACCAGGGATGGCAGCGGGGCCCGGGCTGCCCCTCGCAGCCAGCAGCACGAGCTGCATCACCAGCTCCACGTATGTTAATTAGTGCCAAGGCGTTTGATCGCTGGACTCCATCAGCCTGAAGTGTCTCTTTCTCATGTTCTGCTTTTCTGTAACCTAACCCAGGGCACCAGGTGCAGCCCCCGGGCAGAGCCACCAGCCCGCCCGGCCGCTCCCGGGCCCGGCCACGTTAGCAGCAGTTTAATGGGCCAGACAAACACTTGGCTCTGCTCCCCGCGCCCTGAGCTGCCCCCGCGGGGCCCGGGGTGCTCCCAGCATCACACAAAGGCAGGTCGCTGCTTCTAGGAGGTGGGAACTGAAGCCCCAGCCCTGCTGCAGCTCCGGCAGGGCGTGCAGGGGCACTCACAGCCCCCTCTGAGCAAGGGGCAGTGGCAGAAGAGAAGGGCAAACAAAGCTGCTCTGCTGCCTGCAGAAAGCAGCAAAGGGCACGGGAGATCTGGCACAGCTCAGCTATCTGCTGTTCCCCTTTCAACTTAAAACTCTGCAGGCTGGGGGGCAGCACCAGCTTTCCGGTCTGGATCCCATCCCAGGGTGTTGGGGACAGGAGCACTGGGAACCCGTGGGGAGCCCTGAGGTCCTGGGCGAGGGGCAGCTCCGGGGG